AGACATTTATGAGGCCAACAAACATATGAAAACATGCTCATCATCACTGGTCATTAGAGAAATGCAAATCAAAACCACATTGAGATACCATCTCATACCAGTTAGAATTGCAATCACTAAAAAATCTGGAGACAACAGATGCTGGAGAGCATGTGGAGAAACAGAAACACTTTTACACTGTTGATGGGAGTGTACATTAGTTCAACCATGGTGGAAGACAGTGTGGCAATTCTTCAAGGATCTAGAAATAGAAATACTATTTGACCCAGCAATCTCGTTATTGGTATATACCCAATATACCCAAAAGATTATAAAACATTCTATTATAAAGACACGTGCACACGTATGTTTATCGTGGTGCTGTTCACAATAGCAATTACTTGGAACAAACCCAAATGCCCATCAAAGATAGACTGGATTAAGAAAATATGGCACATGTACACCACAGAATACTACACAGCCATAAAAAAGGATGAGATGATGTCCTTTGCAGGGACATGGATGAATCTGGAACCCATCATTCTCAGCAAACTGACACAAGAACAGAAAACCACACATGCATGTTCTCACTCATAAGTGGGTGTTGAACAATGAGAACACATGGACACAGGAAGGGGAATATCACACACTGGGGTCTATTGGGGGATGGGGGAGCTAGGGGAGGGATAGCAGGGGGTGGAGGGATTGGGGAGGGATAATATTAGGAGAAATATCTAATGTAGATGATGGGGGGTGGATGCAGCAAACCACCAAGGCACGTGTATACCTATGTAATAAATGTGCCTGTTCTGCACATGTACACCAGAACTTAAAGTATATATATATATATATATATATATATATATATATATATATAAATTAAAAAGTCCAACTGAAAATGGATTAAAGACTTAAACATAGAATCTGAAATCTGAAACTGTAAAACCATTAGAAGAAAATTCAGGGAAAAATCTTGATATTGATATGATCACTGAGTTTTTTTTAATATGACCCCAAAAGCACAGGCAACAAAACAAAAAATAAATAAAATGCGATTACATCAAACTTAAAATCTGCACTACAAAGGAGACAACAGAATAAAGAGACAACCTATGAAATGGAAAAAACATTTGCAAACCACATATCTGATAAAAGGTTACTATTTAAACTGTATAAGGAACTCAAATAATAAGAAAAAACATCTGCAAACCACACACCTGATAAAAGATTAATATTTAACATATATAAGGAAATCAAACAAATAGTAAGAAAACAAACTATCCAATTGGAAAATGGGAAAAGAAGCTGAATAGATATCTCTCAAAAAAAAGACATTCTAATGGCCAAGAGGTATATGAAAAAAATGTCCAATATCACTAATCATCAGGGAAATGCAAATTAAAACTGCAGTGAGAGATTACCTGATACCTGTTAGTATGGCTATTATCAAAAAGACAAATGTAAGTGATGGTGAGGAGGGGCAGAAAAGAGAATACTTGTACACTGTTGATGGGAATGTAAATTAGTACAGCCATTTTGGATAACAGTATGGAGAGTCCTCAAAAATTTTAAAATGGAAATGCTGTATGATCCAGCAACTCTATTAATGGATATATATCTGAAGGCAATGAAGTCAGTATTTAAGGAGATATCTGCACTCCCATGTTAATTGCAGCAATATTCACAGTAGCCAAGACATGGAAACAATGTAAGTGTGCATCAACAGATGAACAGATAAAGAAATTGTGTCATAGATACAACATATATATTTGGGTGGTGTTCAGCCTTAGAAAAGAAGGAAATCTTATCATTTGCAACAACATGAACCTGGAGGACATTATGCTGGGAGAAATGAGCCAAACACAGAACATGGAAAGATAAATATTGCATTATCTCATTGACATGTGAAATCTAAAAATGTCAAATTCATACAAATAGAGTAGAATGGTGGTTGCTGGGGGGTGGTCAGGGAGAGGGGCAAATAGGGGATGTTGGTCAGAAGACTCAAAGTTTAATTTACACGGGATGAGTAAGTTCTAGAGATCCATTGTACAGCATTATGTCTATAGTTAATAATACTTTATTGCATACTTGAAAATTGCAAAGAGAGTAGATCTTAAGTGTTCTCACCACACAAATGAAAATAACTGTGAGATGATGGATATGTTAATTAGTTTGATTGTAGTAATCACTTCACAATGTCTACATATATCAAAACAACACTTTATATGCTGTAAATATATACACTTTTTATTTGTGAACTCTACCTCAATAAAGTTGGAAAAAAAGAATTGTGGATCCTCTATTATAACTGCCATAATACTGAAGCACAAGGCAGAGGAGAAGAACATGTCTTATAAGGAGTGAGGAAGAATTGGTAGGATCTACATCTGTTTTCTTTCAATAAATTTCTTTAAAAATTATATACTGAATCTCTGTGCCAATCTCCAATATGCTGTGATTACAATTCTGATAGTATCCACGCTGTTATATGGACATGGAGGGATACATGGTGGCTAGAGGTACTGGCTTAGATCAAACAAACAAATGCTATGTGTATATATATAGCATTTGTTTGTTTGTATATATACATATAAATCTGTATATATACATGTGTATACTTCACAGATATGTGTGTGTATATATAGAAAGCTATCATCTATCTATATCTGTATATGCTCATGCAGAGCAAGGCATACTGAGCATGGCCCATGTAATATGGTGGTAGCAGGCCACCTGACTGGTAATTGTGCTGTGAACACTTAATATCTGTAGTGTCAAGATACTCACACCCACAGAATTTGCTTCTTTGGAGTCTCTCTTACCTTGTTACATATTCAAGTTGCAGTGGGATTTAGACCTGTGGCTGTTCCTCTTATGGCCTGAGATTTAGTTTAAATCATCATTGTTGGACTGCTTGATGCTTAAGAGACTCACTGGTTTTATTTACAAAAATGGAAAAAATAAAAGGAAATGTAAAAAACAAAACAAAACAGAAAACCCAGTCCCCAACCTGCCCTCTACCCACCCCCATCACCCACTCCAGCTCCCAGCTTTTCTGGACTGAGTGGTCACAGAGACTGGGTCGTCTTGGATTCCCTCTGCCTCTGAGGACCCCAATAGACACCCCCAACCCCAGACCAGCTGGCCCCACGCTGGAGTGACCAAAATACTACCTAGCATAGGCCTCTGCTCGAGGCACCCCCAAACTACCTATGTATCCAGCACTAGAGGGCCTCCATTCCTAGGAAGCCCCTATGTATCCTAACACTGGCAGACACCCAGCACCACCCTCCCAGACCTGAAAGAATGTACTGCCTACTCCCCTAAAACTACTTATTTCGTGCTGGCTGGCTTGCCTGCTACCTAGTGCCGACTGCTCCCAGGCAAGGCCTCTGATGCAAAAACAAAAAACAAAATAAAACAAAGAAATGGTTAACAGTAAGAGAAAGTTTACAAAGAAAGCACTCCAAAAATTGGGAGGACCCAGCTGAATCAATTCTCAGGCCTTCAGGAACTATGGACTCAGGGCTTCTGTTTTGCTTCTTTCTGACTTCTCTGTTACTTTTCTTGCTACTGTGGAGGTGACTAATCCATACAAAGGCATAAGCAAGGGAAGTGCACTCTGTCTATAAATATGTAAACCTCAACCGAAGGTGACCCAGGGCTGCAATTAGATGTCCAGTTTCTAAAAACAAACTTCAGAGCTTCCTCGTGGCTTTTTTCTTCTGGCTCTGTCATGTGGGGTGGGCAGGAACAGATCATCAAAAGGGAGGTTTATGATTCCAGGTGGCACGCTGTGGCCACAAATAGCATTTCAGCTTTTGATCAATGAAGCTCATAGGGAAACTCCAACCCTCCAACCCTAAAATAAATGCAAAGACTGCTTTAATCAAGGAGAGTCTCTGGACAACCGTAATTCCTATGAGAGAACATGAGAATATGATGGAGAAAATATTCATTTATAGGTGTGGTACTTTCCAACTCTTACTGGCAAGCTAATGACAGGGAAGGGAGGGGAGAACTATAGACCATTTGGTGTTTTTTAAACGATATGAGGCAACCCTTTAAAGGATAGTAAAATTGTTTTTTGGGGGCATAAAAATACTTTTACAACAGAATACAATTGAATGGAATAAAAGAGTAACTAGAAAAAAATCATAGTGCATTGCATGTAGTGTAGATAAGTATTGTTTTATGAGACTTTTTGGGTGTGTATGGGTGTGTGTGTGTTTGTGTGTGTATGCATTCATGTGTCCTGTACTGGGGTTTGACGTGGTATTTTTGTGGGGAGGGAAGGTTGGTTGGTTTGTTTATTTTTTACTGTGGGTCCTGGTCAAAAACATTTGGTAAAGATTGCTATAATTTAGCTCATTGCCACATACTTTTGGGGTCGTGGGTTTAAAAAACTAACACTAAAATTGTAACCACTCAACACTGAGCTTTTTAAAAGACTATAACTTTTACTCTTTTTGGCAGTGTTTATCAACTCTTTTGGCTTGAGGAGATAACCTGAGGTGGCAGCGAGCAGCCTGAAAAAGTAAATGGGAGGTTTATAATGAAGTTCTTGGAGGCAGATAAGACCAGGGACAGAGGGCACCAGACAACACACGTGTGTGCATGTGCATGCTCGCACGCGCGTGTGTGCGCGTGTGAGTGTGTGTGTGTGCGTATCAGAGAGAGATTTAGAGACGAGGACTCACTACAGGACACAGCAGGGTGGAGTGGGGGACTGTTTTTTCTGGTAAACAATCTAAAACCTTGTTGTTCATGCTGAGATCTCAACGAGAAAACAAGTCCCAGTATGTGATGTGATTCTAAATCCAAAGAATTAACCTGAGCGTCAGAAACCAGGAGTCCTTAGAGTTTTGTTCCCTGCCTCAGGGAAACACTTTGTTTCTGACTGACAGTAGAACTTATAAAGGAACTTTTTGAAAACCTAGGATAACATCACCTTGTTCTAGAAATTACTGAAGAGGAACCAAAGTGTACAGAGCCATGTTGTGTTTATTTGATTTAATATGATTATTTCTCCTGTCCTCTTTTATAGGATTCTCACTTTGTTTCCAAATGCCACAGCTCGAAAATTACTACTGATGTTGATATTTATATTAATTTTCTGGGTTATTTACTTGGCTTCAAAAGACCACACAAAGGTAGGAAGTTCCCTTTTTAAGAGTTTCACAGAACATCATAGTGACTTCATTTGAACGATCCCCTTTATCATGGCAAGAATGAAAGGTTAAAAGCATATTATTTTAGCAGGAGAATGTGGTGAAGGGGTTCCCTCTTCAGCATAAATCCCTTTGGCAATGCATATATTATTATTGCTTTTTAAAATGGCAATGTATACATTATTATTATTATTATTATTTTAAATGGCACATGGATTTGTGCCATCTCTGTACTACTTGGCACTGTAACCATCCAGCCTCAAAATTCTCTCCTCCTCCCTTGGCTTTTGAGACTTCAAACTAATTATGTCTTTGTTTCAGTCTTCTGCTGTCTTCACATGGATTTTCTTATTCTTTAAGTAGTTTAGTACAGTGTATTTTGGCTCTTCCCTTTGTAAGTTTTTCTTAACTCACCTTGCTTCCAGTTTCTTTTCTTCCAAATCATTTAGTACAAACATAATCTTTCAAAAACTCTGCTTTCATCATCTTCTGGTCCTGATCAAACGCTTTCACTAATGACAGTATAAAGAACAAACTCCTTTGTTTAGCCATTAGAGTTCCTTTTACATTTGAACCCAAATACCTTTAAGGTGTCTCTCTGGTCAGACGTGGTGGCTTACGCCTGTAATCCCAGCACTTTGGGAGGCCAAGGCGGGCATATCACCTTAGGTCAGGAGTTCGAGACAAGCCTGGCTAATGTGGTAAAACCCCATCTATACTAAAAATATCAAAAAGTAGCTGGTTGTTGTGGTGCATGCCTCTCTCTATTCCTAGCCTCTCGGGAGGCTGAGACAGGAGAATTGCTTGAACCTGGGAGGCGGAGGTTGCAGTGAGCTGAGATTACGCCACTGCACTCCAGCCTGGGTGACAGAGTGAAACTCCATCTTAAAATAAATAAATAAATAAATAAATAAATAAATAAGTAATAAATTAAATTAAGTAAAAGCGTCTCTCTAACCTTTGTCTAATGCAGCCTTATCTCCAAGCTTCAAACAGGAAGCACCACAGTCTAAGGCATTCAGCCAATAGTATGAACTGTTAAAAAAAATACCCTCAGAGCTCGCTCTATAAGTATATGTTCTCTAGATTTCTTCCTCTGATCCACTTCTCCTCTATGCTGGTAACTTTTAATTTATAGGCTCAGGTCCTGTTCACTACCAATATTAGTGTTTCACAAAGAGAGGTCTGGGAGCTTTCTGCCTAGAATACCTGTATGTATACCTGTGGGTAAAATGCAGATTCCTGAGCCATACTCCAGAACTACTGAAATCTCAGTTTGAGCCTTGTTAATTTGACATAAGGGCACACATGCTGGTCTTGCATCAGTGTGCCTTTGACATTAATGATTAATTTATAGAGAAACTGAACTTATTTTATCTTTCAAAATTGGCCCTTACAATCTCACATGCCCACCTCTTTCAAGATAGACCCTGGGCCTTGAGGAGTTGAATAACTTTAATTTCTGGCCCTGTGTCTCAGAAATGCAGTAAATTTTGATTGGTATCTTCTACCAGGCCTGAAGATGAGGCATTAATTGCTGTCAGTGTTTAAGTTTAGCAGGACTTGGTGTTCTTTTTAGATCCAGAAGTAAAAGCCCTGTATATCAGTGTCACAAGGACTTTAAAAGTACATACAGGAAGGTACAAGGATGTAACCACATTAACTAAAATTTTTTTTTTTTAAATCTCAGTTTTTCCTGAGCAAACCAAATTTAATAATAATGACATAGTAATTATTTTGATAAAACTTAAAATCTGTTAGTCCAGCTACCAAAAGGCAAAATAAAAGACCTTTTCCAGTATACAGAATATTATGTTGGAAGAAGACATTTCCTTTAGACCTTTAAGAAAAAAATATAAAAATCAAAAAAAAAAAAAAAGAACCCAAGGAAGAAAAAAAAAAAAAAAAAAAAAACCTTTAAGAACTGAAAATGAATTGAAGGGTAGTGTCACTATTCCATGCCTTTTAAAAGGGGAGAGAAAACCCAAAACCCATCAGATACAATAAAAGTTGAACTTTGGATTAAAATAAAAAAATTTAAATCTCTTATAATTTATTAAGAATAAATCAACCCCTTTAGAAAATTTCATTGTTCTAGCAAATTCTATTCTTTTGTGTGTGTTTTCTACATCAAACCCAATCTCTAGAAAGACCATTATAATTTCTCTTTAATCATAGACAACTTGATCATATAAGAGTTTTTGAGTTTTTAAATAAATCCTCTTATTGTCACTTACTCACACTGTTCATGACATGCTTGAACTTTCTTGTTTTTCCTGAACGTCCCTTTATCTTCAACAACCAGTCATTTTACTCTAGGACTGAATTTACCATACAATTATTTCTTGTTTGAATTTTTTTTGCACTAGCACTTTTCACTTTCTGAAAGACTATATAATTTACTCATTTATTATGTTCATTGATTATTGTCTATCTTGACCTAGTATATAGCAACCTTTATGGAGTTGAGGATTTTTATAAGTATTTATTGGTATCACGAGTTCCTAGAACAGTCTCTGGTACATAGTAGATGCTTAATAAATAACTGGTAAATAACAAAATAAAGACTGTTCAGTGATCTGGGTGAGAGGTAATGGTGGCCTGAAATAAGCTACTAACAATGAGGATGGAGAAAAGTTAATGAATTTGAGCTACAATTGACAGTAATAGTGATTGACTGCGGGAGGTGAAGAGGTAAGTTTGACCAGGAGTTACATTTCCAGGTTTGTACAACTGCATGACTGGTGATATCATTTACTGAAGTATTAACCAGAATGGGAGAAACAGTTTTGGAAGATAAATGATGGATTTATATATGAACAGTCCAGGTTTGAGGTCCTTTTAGGTCAACCAAGTGGAGGTGTTCAATATATAGATCTGATGCTGGGAAAGATCTGGCTTAGAAAAATAGATTTAGGAAACATCAGAACGCAAATGGCAGCTGAAGTCATTGTAGTCTCTGACATTTCCTTGGATGAGCTATATAGTGAGAAAAAAAGTTGCTAGTGATATAACCCCAAGAAACAAAATAAGCACTGGTCTGAGGAGTGAGTGGTAGCAGAGAAGGTGTACACAGTATGGAAGAGGACTCTTGAGAAACTGAATCGATGGGGGTGGGGAACACGTGAGGTTATGCTAGCAATTAAAGAGGGAATCAGAAGCTAAAAAAATTTTCCTTTTTCTAATATGGGAGATACTTGAATACATTTTAATTCACATGGAAAAAGGCTAATAGAAGAAAGTAGAAAGTAGAAAAGAAAAGGTGTGGTTACACATGTTTGGCAGTGTGACAGGAAGTTGAATCACTAAGTGATCAGCCTCTAATGCCAAGAAGCTTCAGAAGCAGAGATCTAGGTATTGGAGGAGGAACTGCCTCCATGGATATTGAAGTCTATCTGGAGGATGTCAAGACGTTTAGTGATTAAGACTAGAAACCAAGTTCTTCATGATCTTCTGTAAATCAGTAAAAGAATCCAGTTGGTCAAAAAATGACAGAGAAGAGGAGGGTTATGTAGTCATTGGTGATAGTTGGTCAGTTATATCATGGAGAACAAGATATCTTAGGGTCTTCTGAAAAAAAAGTATATCTCTTAATATATATAAATCTTTGAAATATATGTATTTGAAATGTGTGTGTATATGTGTATAAAACCCTGATCTTTATACTGTTCTAAAACCACTGACTGAGTAGATTACAAACAATACAAATTTACTGCTTATAGTTCTGGAAGTTACAAAGTCTAAGATCAAGGCACCAACAGATTTGGTGTCTAATGAGGGCCTGCTTCCTTGTTCATAGATGGCTATCTCTTCATGTGTACTCATATGGTGGAACAGGCAAAGAAGCTCTCTGGTAATGGCATTAACTTTATTCATGAGGGCTCCATCCCCATGATCTAATCACCTCCCCAGAAGTCCCATCTCCTAATACCAACACATTTAAAGTTGTAACATATAAATTTGAGGGAATCACAAATATTCAATCTATAGCAGTACGGGAGATTAGGTTACAACATGAATTTTGGGGAGATGCAAGCGTTTCGTCTATGGCAATTCTAGTGTGTGTGTGTGTGTGTGTGTGTGTGTGTGTGTGTGTGCGTGAGAGAGAGAGAGAGAGAGAGAGAGAGAGAGAGAGAGAAACAGGTTATTAAATGAGACAACTGGGCCTAACGTGAAATTGAGCATTAAATTCTGATCCGGGCCCTGCTACTATGATTTTAAAGAGACTTTCCCCCTTCTTTGCCTAATTTTAAGGGTCTAGCACAAAACTTTTTGTTTTTCCTTGTTCATATTTATGGCTCATATGTTGCATAATTCTGCTACATAATATTCTTGACATGACAAAACCATAGAAATAAATAACAGGTAAGTGGTTGCCAGAGGTTAATTAAGGAATAGGAGAAGGTGAGGGAATAGTAAGCGTGGTTATACAACAGCAACATGAAGGAAAGGAAATGTTCTGTATCTTGACTCTGTCAGTTTCAATATGCTTGTTGGAATATTTTACTACTTTTGCAAGATGTTACCATTGAAAAAAACTCAGTAAAGGGTACATGAGATTTCTCTATAATCTATTTTTTTCTAAATACTTCTATGGCTTTTAAAATTTTAGATTCAGGGGTACATTTGCAGGTCTCTTATATGGGTATATTGCATGATGCTGTGCTTTGGGCTTCTAATGCTCCCATTGCCCAGTGGTCAACATAGTATTCAATAGGTAGTTTTTCAGCCCTCACCACCCTCCCTCCCCATTTTTGGAATCCCCAGTGTTTATTGTTCTCATCTTTGGGTCCATATGTACCCAATGTTTAGCTCTCACTTATAAGTGAGAACATACGGTATTTGGTTTTCTGTTTCTGTGTTAATTCACTTAGGATAATGGCCCCCAACTGCAGCCATGTTGCTGCAAAGGACACGATTTTCTTTCTTATGGCTGTGTAGTATTCCATTGTGTATATGTACCACATTTTCTTTATTCAGTC